TTTTTTTTTTTTTTCTGGTGGAATTTGTGACACTTTTTAACTTGCAATGTTTTCCCTTTTTCTGTCTGTGTGTTTTTGCACCTTCCCTCCTTTTAGAGGCCATGCCCCCACTGGAAAACCTAACAGTGTCTGACACGAACCCCTACGGGTTCACGGTGTCCTGGATGGCATCGGAGAATGCCTTTGACAACTTTCTAGTAGTCGTGGTGGATTCTGGCAGGCTGCTGGACCCCCAGGAGTTCCTCCTTTCGGGAGCCCAGAGAGAACTGAAGCTCAAAGGCCTAATTACTGGCATTGGCTATGAGGTTTTGCTTTATGGGCTTGCCAAGGGGCACCAAACAAAGCCCCTGAGCGCCCTGGCTGTTACAGGTATTTCAATGTGAGCAAATAGTTCCTTTCCATCCTTTTCTCTCTCTCTCTCTCTCTCTCTCTCTTGCACTTTTCCTTCTCACACAGAAGATGTTTCGTGCAAATCTTGGCTTTTGCATCCTCTGCATCGTGGCTCCTCGTGACTGATGGGTTCACCAGAATTCTGTTCCCTCTAATTTGATGTTCCCTGTGAGGGATCCTCTGGAGGAGCATGTGGGGGGCTGCGGTGAACACTTCTCATGGTCTTGCAGGAACCTCTAACCAAAGTGTTTAAAGGAGACTGGGCTGCATGCAGAGCTCATCTTGTTAACAGCTGGGCACATCAGCGTCCTCCAACAGTGTCCTTCTCCAGCCTGCCAGCCATCAGCACCTTCAGGAAGAGCTGTGGACTCTTCCCTTGGCCTCCTCTCTTTCCCTTTCCGTGTGGGTTCCTCCCACAACAGTGGGATCGTTGCCAYCCCTGAAGTTGGCACCTCTCAAACCAAGTTTCACATCAGAGCTGCTGCTTTCCAGCAGCGCTCGAGCTTTCTCAGGAATTCAAGGCTGATTCTCCAGCCCCAGAACCATCAGTTGTCATCAGCACAGCAGGAAATCTGGGGGGGATCTGGTGGGGGGTTTGAGAGGAAATAAATAGGAATTTGTGTGTGTGTGTGTGTGTGTGTAAGGATTGCAGAGGAGGTGCTGTAGGATGTTACCACTCCAGCAGCATTTCTCTGGGTAATGGTGCCTGAGCAGACTGAGTTAGAGATGATTTCAGGTAATTAATAACTTACAGCTCTGTAATTAATAACTTACAGCCTTTGGGATCCTTTGGAATGGGTTCATTAAGCAAAGGCAGCAGGTCTTGTGCTTGGATTGAAGGGTGCTATGAAAGAGAGGGATTTTCATGATTCCCCTTTGCTGTTTAAGAGCCAAGTAAAGGATTCACCTGATCAGGAGCATCATGGAAGTGCATGAAATCACGGATTTGCATGGAGAAAAATAATTTCCAGTGCTTTTTACATTGTCCTAGCAGAGAGAGGTCTGGCAATGTTCCAAGCATGCAGTTCTATAACAGGACTTGTTTTTTATCAGACAGAAAGGTGTCACACAGGCAGGGAGGGAGAAATGCCCAGGAAACTCATTTTTAGCATGTGTAACTCTGCATGTGGGAGACAAACTCTGTGTCCATGCAGTGAATCTTCTGTTCAAGGGTGAAACTCRGAATGGGCCTGCACACACTCACATTTATCCTGTTATGTGTAACACTAATATTTAATTTTATTTTTCAATAGCTGGCAGATTTTCCCCTTGCTTTGAACTGTGGTTGGATTCTTGCCGTGTGCTATAGCCAGACCTCGGGCAGGTCTCTGATCAACTGATGAAAAAAATCATTTCTTTTTCCCCCACTGCTATCTTCTCCTTTTTTAGAAGCAGAACCCGAGGTCGACAATCTCCTGGTTTCCGACGCCACTCCAGAGGGATTCCGCCTCTCCTGGACTGCGGATGAGGGGGTTTTCAACAGCTTTGTTCTAAAAATCAGGGACACCAGAAGGAAATCTGACCCYCTGGAGCTGATAGTGCCAGGCCATGAGCGCACCCAGGATATAACAGGGCTGAAAGAGGGCACTGAATATGAGATTGAGCTCTATGGAGTTGGCAGTGGACAGCGTTCCCAGCCCGTAAATGCTGTAGCATCCACAGGTATTGTTTTTTTTCAGTGAGAAAAGTGTGACATTCCCTGTTCCTTTCAGCATCTCCTCCTCACAGCCAGCTCGTGCTGCTCCTGAGGTGTCCTGAGCTGTCTCCTGCATGTCCCCTGCCCGTGTCACTGGCTCAGTGTGCYGTGGTTATTTGTAATCAGTCTCAGCTGCCCGAGCTCCATCGCTGTCTGTTTAATATGCTTTAATTGAATTACTTTAACGATCAGGAATTAGGCAGCAGAGTCTGGCAATTACAGCACTGCCTTTGAGGGCCAAGAAATATTGTCTCTGCATCAGCCTTTTTCTCTGTGACTAATTRCATCCCAGCCCTGCACAACGATTCACCTCACCAGAAATGAGTTATSACAAAATGAATTTACCAGGGCCATTGAGAAATTTATTTATGGCCTGACCAGCAAAGACCTAAGCATCATTAACTTARGCTGATCTTACCAGGAGCAACATGTGCTTGGTAATTCAAACTGACTTGAGTTTCTTTGCAAAATCAGAGCTTCGATTCAGGTTCATAAYTGAAGCGTTTCATTCTGGCACGTCTGAATGAAGCATTTCAATCTTTTTTTTCCACATTAAAAATTGTGGTTTCGTTCTGAAATGTATTTAAAGCAAATGATGCAATGTCCCATCAGCCAAATGTGGTCTTTGAAAAATATTGAGTTTGCTGATGTGAAAGTGTGGTAATTTGAAATCAAATTAATTATGGGAGGAGAGGAAAAGGAAGGGGACAGGAAAGTGAGGGGAGATCTCATCAGGATCTGCAGCTCCTCCCGAGGGGCAGCTCCGATCTCTGCTCTGGGACAGGGACAGGAGCCAGGGAACGGCTGGAGCTGGGCCAGGGCAGGCTCAGGCTGGAGAGCAGGGAAAGGTTCTTSTGTCCCCAGAGGGTGCTGGCACTGCCCAGGCTCCCCAGGGAATGGTCCCGGCCCCGAGGCTGCCAGAGCTCCAGGAGCGTTTGGACAGCGCTGCCAGGGATGGACAGGGTGGGGCTGTTGGGGGGTCTGGGCAGGGACAGGGGYTGGGCTGGGTGATCCTGGGGGTCCCTCCAGCTCAGGATRTGATTTTAAGCTCAGTGAGTGAGGGAACCCACAGAAATTCCCAAAGGAGGTGYTTKCCAGGCAGTGCTCCAGCCAGCACCCRGGAGAGGGGCAGCAATAACTCAGTATCAAACAGCTTCTCCCAAAACAACCTCAGAGCCCTCACCCTGCTGCCTGTGGGGTCAGCTGTAGGCACAGCAAGTCCCATTTCTGCCCAGCTCCATGCTGCCATCCCTGCAATCAACAGCAAGGCCATCCTCACCTCCCCCACACACTTCCAGAACATCCATCCATCACCACCCCCTTGCCCAGGCTCCTGCACGCTGGCTCCCGATGGACAGGGATGTTTAAAGCCCCCTGCACTTGTTAGGAAGTCCCCATCTTCCCTGATCCCAGGATATTTATGGGAAACCACCAAAAGCCATCATTTTCCTCCCCATGCAGTCCCTGCAGGGAGCTTTAGCACATGTCACCTGCCTTAGCACATGTCACGCCCCCTTAGCACTGTGTCACCTCTCTTAGCACATGTCACCCACCTCAGCACGTGTCACCCAGCGAAGCCAGCAGCCCAGGAAATGATTGTCAGCTGTAAATTTTCCATGAAAATGGGCAATAGAGCCCCAAAACCCCAGTGAACAGTTTGGGCTGCAGGTTATACCACAGTGCGTGGGTGGCTGCCAAGGCACCCGGCTGAYTTCTGGTTTAGGAGCACATTATTGCACAGACATATTGACATTTATAGTGTTTCCAACACAGCTGCAAAGAAAGATTTCTATCCCTGAGGAGGGAATTTGGCCAGTGCTGCTCTCAGTGTTGGTATCTTTTTGAAATTTATCAGTAAAATGTCAGTTAAGGGGCAATTTGGGCACCACAGGGAGACCACAACACACCAATTAATATTCTTGTGGGAAGCGTGGGTCTGATGCTGCTCCTTCCCTCTTCACCCAGTGCTGTTTTGCCACACTGACAGTGTAGTTTTCTTTTTGAGGTGATCACAAAACACTTCAGATGCTCTTTTATGTAATAAATGCAACCTGCTGAGTCCTGTTGATCAGGAAAGGAAACCCAGGGAACCAGGGAACATCCTCCTCTAGTTTGTTAGGAATGAAAGAATAATTAGCAAAAAATTTCCCTGAAAAACAGCAGGTCTCAGGTACCACGGATATTTTATCAGTCTCTCAGGGGAGTTCCCTGTCTCTTGTACACTTCTTGGGATGATGTTGAAGGATAAAATAATTTACCTGTGCCTGCCCAACCTGAGGTTCTCTCTGAGTGCCAGCTCAGCACTCTTGCTATGCCTGCTTAATTCTGGCTTTCAGGTGGCCCTAGGAAGATGATTTCATTCACTTCTTTTTCATTTCCCTGTGCTCAAAGGTGCAAATCTCTCCCATCTCTGGAATTTATTCCAGAACAGATGCTCTGATGGTCCATTATAATTTTTTTTGCCAGATTCTCTTCCAGGAAAGCTGCAGCTGGGGGTTTTGGGGATGTGGAAAACTCCCACAGTCAAAGCTCTGCTCACTGCTCTTTCTCATTCAGCTTACCTGGTGCAGAAAACAAGCCTGAGGCCCATGGAAATGTGCACAGCAGAGTCCAAGTGGGGTGGATTGGGTGTTTTATTTTCTGGGAAAGGCTGAAATGTCCCATGTGTAMAAAAAACAAGTGCAGATCCATCTGTTTGGTCCCCAAAATCACCCCTGGTTTTTTTCTTCAGCCACTCAGGGCACCCATATTGTGAAGCAAAATCAATGTGATTTCCACTTCTCTCTTTTTCCCAGATTTTCTTTATTTCCTTCAGACTGTACCCAAATCAGCATCACCTTTTTATYCCACCCAGCTTTTCCAAACCCACCTTGCTTCCTTTATCATCTGCAATTCTTTTCTTCCCTCGGCTTTTCCRTGTGAGCAAACCCCACAAGCACAACACGTCCAGTGAGCTCCAGAGACAGAATTTACATTTCTCCTGAGAGCTCAGTTATTTTAATTCCCTTGCCTTTTGGTTGATTTAGTGCCTCACTGCTTTGGGGACACATGGAACAAACAGCTCTCTGACTCCTTCCCGCAGGCACGTTCTTTCCAAGCTATTTCAAGCCCAGTCCCTATTTTTTTTYCCCTCCTCTTGCCCCCCTTCCTCTGTCTCCATCCTCTTCACGTGGCTGATGTTTGGGATCTCTCCTCTTTGGRCTAATGGCCCACTCTGGGTGTGATGTTTATTTTTTAATACCTCAGAGTTGTTTTGGTTACAGCCAAAAAAAAAAAGCTGGGAAGATTGGAAGTGGGATGCTCAGTGTAAACCTTGAAGTGGCAGCTTTCTTTRCCATGTCCTTCCAAAGYCCTTTCCAGCCTTATTTKTTAGGATTTTAACTAAACCTCCATCTGGAATATTTCAGATATGTGTTGGTTTTAAGTTTGGGGCATTTTTGGTAAAATCTGAGTCTTATTTGCCCAGCTTACTGATTTAATTTTATGTGGGCAAGTGCTTGATGTAAGCAGGGAAGGGCTGGGTTTTATGACAAAGAGCTGCAGGTGCTTTMCTCATGGTGACTCTACTCAGATTTCTCGGCATGGATGTGCTTGAAAGAAAAATCATGGGCTCAGAGGGACATTCCAGGAGGAAATTCTTGCTTTTTGATAGATTGATTTTTTGAAACCAGCAGAGGTTCCAGGGGTCAGTGCTTGATGGACTCCCACACCCGAGCCCAGGTCTGCTTGGAGCATCCTGTGTTAGGAAATTCATGCTCAGGAGGAGAGATCTGCCCATGGCTGTTACTGCTGTGTGTCACAGAGGGCTCTGGGGCTCCATCTAAAAACCCTCCAAGTGAAACTGGGAGCCAAAAAATCCTAAATACAACATCTCCTGGGCAGTAGAATGTCATTTGTGTGCCTGTTGCTCCCTGATTTTATATGGCACTGAAATCTCTGTTACTTCCCTAACACATGTTGGGTATTTTTAACTTTCACTCTTTTAACTTTTGCTCTTTCTCAGGACTGAAATGGTCCTGRAAAAAGGAAAATTTAAGCCAAATAGTTGTTGTTGTAATGACAATATTCAGGTTGGTACCCCCTGAATTTGTATTGTTTAGGGCAGGGCATTGACAGCAGCAGCTCATGGGATGGAGGGATAAAAGAAATCAGAATTCCAGCCCTAAGGACTGAGAAACAAATKATTTACCTTTGCTTCCTGTGTGCTGTGTTCTCTGCTCTCCCCTGGCAGTGGTTGGCTCTCCCAAGGGCATTTCCTTCTCTGACATCACGGAAAACGCCGCCACAGTCAGCTGGACCCCGCCGCGCTCCCGCGTGGAAAACTTCCGCGTGTCCTACGTCCCCGTCACGGGAGGTGAGGAGGGGCAGGGACAGCAGGGAGGGTTTGCTGGGCTGCYATCCTCCCTTTCAGTGCATCCCCCAGGTGATCATACACACATCATCTCCTTTTTGCTTCAGGAACTTGGATGTGTGGTCAACCTTTGTCCCACATCCCATGGGCAGGGCTTGTGAGGGAGCTCCAGAGCGGATGTTGGGATGGTTTTACCCCTAACAAATCCCTCTCTCAGCCTCCTCAGCAAGGATAAGTTCCCAAACTGTCTCATTACTTCCAGCTAAACCCATTGGAAAAGATGGCCCWTGGAAATAATAATCATAATCCGCAATTATAATAATTTTTCAAGGCAGTGATTTATTCAGTGCTCCCCAAAGTTGTCTCATTCTGGTTCAGCGTTCAACTTCAAAAACTTCCTGCACTTCAACAGATTTTTAACCTAACTTAGGGACATCTCTGAAGGGAAACAGCTAAAGAACAAACACTAAAGACATCAGGACTAAAACCAGTCCTGCTGGTGACAGAGACAAGTGGAGATTTAGGGCTTCGGACAATACAGCCTGGAAGCACACGAGCAGCTTTAAAAATGGTCCCAGAGAACAAAAGGAATCCAGCCATGAAGTTAGGCACTTGCCTAAGTGCTTTCCTGGAATAAACCCAGGATCTGGAATAATTAGGGGTGCTAAGCCCTCAGCCACACACAGAGCACCTTTTAAAATAACTTCTAATATATCTTTATTCTGAATGGGGTGGGGAAAGGAGAATTTTCCAGCCCTCACCACAAACAARGCTGATCTAAACTGCAGGTCCTGTCCTCGAGGCATTGGAATCTACATGTACTGCTGTGTTTTCTGCTTATATCTCATGTGGGAAATCATAATTTTCTGAGCAGAAATCACAAAATCACAGAATGGCTTGGGTTGGAAGGGACCTTAGAGCTCATCTCATTCCAATCCCCTGTCACAGAAAGGGATATCTTCCACTAAAAATGTTAATTTTTTTCTTACTGAATATAAGCCAATGATTTGGATTTAGGTGCCAGGGCAGCAGTATTTGACACAGTTGTAACTACYTGGGGAAAATTCATCTCCTGCTGTAGAAGCACATCCATGGTGGCCACATCTTTAACATGAAAAACACCCTTCAAGCATTTGCTGGAGCATTGTGTCACTCATCCCCTGGCATTTGACCCAATCTAGGTACTCCAAATGTTGTCACAGTCGAAGGCAGCAAGACAAGGACCAAGCTGGTGAAGCTGGTCCCAGGTGTGGACTACAACGTCAGCATCATCTCTGTGAAAGGCTTTGAGGAAAGCGAGCCCRTCTCTGGCATCCTGAAAACAGGTAAAATAACATGAAAATAAAAGAAATCAAMCCAGGAAACAGCAGCTTTTCAAATGGGTCATCTGGAGCTGCAGACCCACTGAGATCCTATTTTTGCTGCCCACACAAACTCTAGGCAGTTTTTTGTTCCTTTGTGTCTTTTTATTTTAGATGAGGTAGGACTGGTAAATTTGATCAGGCTCTCATTTGCTAAACACAAAACAAACTTATGAGGCAGAGACAATTCATTTATTTACAGTTCTAATTAATAAAAAAAAAAAAGCCCCAGAAGTTTAATTAATGGCATATTTGAGATGGGTGAGCAAAGGGTCAGCTCAGCTGAGCAGTTCAGAGCAGTTTCTCTTGTGCAATCCACGTCTCCCAGGTTCCAGACTGTTCTAAGAATAAAAAAAAAAAAAATAATCTCTCTCCTGATTTCCCTACAATAAAGCTTTATTGAAATATCCCTGCAGGACATGAGGGTCCACCTTGCTCCTGCAGACCCCTCCTTGTGTTCTTTTTGGGGGTGAACAAACATCCAGAGAGCTGAGGCAAGGAAAAATGATGAGTATTGGATAATGATGGGARATTTACAGCCCATTCCAGCTGTCCTGGAGGCAAAGATCCATCTTAATTCATGGAGAGCATAAACCCCTCTGAAAAATGGAGGCAAAAGCAGGACATTGGGGATTTTGGATGCCTGTCTGCCTGTGGGATTGGGATATTTTAAACAAGCTGCTGGAAGGTCACAATGGCCATCAGCTGCCGTCACTTTGGTTATTTTTCCCAGCTCTGCCTCCTGAGTTTGCTCCAAAAACGAGCTCAGATTTGGGGTTTTGAGAGGAATATGTCAGCTCTGACAGAGCCATTGAGATGGATGGGAACGAGAGYGATCTGAAAGCAGGCTTAGTTCTGSCTGTTCCCAGACCTTCATCTCYTCCAGCACTGACCTCCCTCTCCAGTGGAGGCTTTTGGGGTCTCTACATCAGCACTGACATCATTCCTGCAGAACTCCACAATTCCAGAGGGGATCATAAAAGCTGCCCTGAGCTCTGGGCATTTTCTGTCATGGATTTACAGCAGAGCACTGTGCAGAGCTGAGAGTGTTTGTCAAATTCCTTCAATCTGTTTTCCTTGCAGCTCTGGACAGCCCCTCAGGCCTGGTGGTGGTGAACATCACTGATTCTGAAGCTCTGGCTACGTGGCAGCCAGCGATCGCTGCTGTGGATAACTACGTGGTGTCCTACTCCTCTGAGGAAGGTGAGAGGGCTGGCAATGTTCGAGAGATGAAGGGTTAAAGCTGTCAGGCGGTGCTCATTGTAACTTCAGGATAATCACAGAATATCCCGGGCTGGAGGGACCCACAAGGATCATCAAATMCAACCCCTGKCCCTGCCCAGACCCCCCAACARCCCCACCCTGTCCATCCCTGGCAGCGCTGTSCAAACGCTCCTGGAGCTCTGGCAGCCTCGGGCTGGTATTTGGAGGAGGAGCCTTGCTGGAAGCGTTTTAAGAATGATCATTTGAATCCAGCATTCCGGATTCAGCCACGAGCAGAGCGATTCCCGGGAAGCAGGGGTGGTGTCATAATTCCTGTGAACACTAGAGAGAGCTCAGACTTCTAGAGAAAGGGCTCTGGTGTAACTCAGAGCCAGCAGCGGCGTCAGCACAGGCACGGGAATCCGGGCTTTTGTTATTTTGCTTTTGCACCAACCAGGAATAAAATAAATCAGCGAGCGGAGCATGGAGTGGAGCACATCATG